GGGAATGTCTCATCCACTTTGCATTCCCCAAATTGATTAGCCACCTCCGTATCGAGACGGGAGAGGTGGTCAGCAGCTTGATTTGCAGACCCTTTCCGGTCCTTAACCTGTACATTGAATTCCTGCAAAAGCAGCACCCAGCGTAACAGCCTAGGCTTTGCATCATTCTTCTGAAGTAGGTATCTTAATGCCGAATGATCGGTATAGACAATTACTTCTGAAAGAATGATGTAAGGCCTAAACTTTTCTAGAGCATAAACGATGGCCAAGAATTCTTTTTCAGTGGTTGTGTAGTTCAGTTGTGGTCCCGACAATGTTTTGCTAGCATAGTAGATCGGATGAAAGTTTTTACCCTCTCGTTGGCCAAGAATAGCCCCAACTACTTCATCACTAGCATCGCACATAAGTTCAAATGGTTTAGTCCAATCGGGAGCCACAAGGACTGGTGCAGTGATTAACTTCTCCTTCAAAGTGTTAAAGGCTTTTAGGCATTCATCATCAAAAACAAATTCGATCCCCTTTTCTAGCAGGCGAGTTAACGGCTTAGCGATTTTCGAAAAATCCCTTATAAACCCCCGATAAAAACCAGCGTGGCCAAGAAAGCTACGGATGGCTTTAACAGAAGTTGGTGGAGGAAGTTTCTCGATGGTCTCAACTTTAGCCCTGTCAACTTCAACGCCCTTGCTAAGAGACCTTATGCCCTAGTACGATCCCTTCCTTGACTAAGAAATGGCATTTTTCCCAACTCAAAGCCAGGTGGGTCTCCTCGCACCTCTTTAGCACTTTCTCCAAATTTTCAATACATTCTTCAAATGATTCCCCAATGATTGAGAAATCATCCATCAAAACCTCCATGAAATCGCCTATGAATTTCTCAAAGATAGCAATCATGCATCTCATGAAGGTGGCAGGTGCATTACACAAACCAAAGGACATCCGCCGAAAAGCGAAAGTTCCAAATGGGCATGTGAAGGTGGTCTTTTCTTGGTCCTCGAGATTAACATGTATTTGAAAGTAACCACTCATTCCATCGAGGAAACAATAATAGGCATGCCCTGCCAGTCTCTCAATTAATTGGTCAATGAAGGGAAGGGGAAAGTGATCCTTCCGGGTGGCATCATTTAACTTTCTGTAGTCTATCACCATTCTCCACCCGGTGACTGTTCGACTAGGTACTAAGTCACCCTTCTCATTTTTCACAACAGTCATTCCTCCCTTCTTCGGGACAACATGAATAGGACTAACCCACCGACTATCAGAGATTGGGTATATAATACCTGCGTCTAATAATCGGAGGATTTCCTTTTGTACTACCTCCATCAGTTTTGGATTAAGCCTACGTTGTGTTTGAACAACAGGCTTGAACCCTTCTTCAATTGCAATTCTGTGGGTGCAAAAGGCCGGGCTGATTCCTTGAATATCCTCCAACTTCCAAGCAATTGCTTGCTTGTGCCGTCGAAGAACGGTCAATAGTTCGGCCTTTTGATCCACAGTCAATTCAGATGCGATGACAACCGGGCATTTGCCCTCGTCATCCAGAAATGCATATTCTAGATGTTTGGGAAGTGGCTTCAGTTCTAGGGTATCAGATCCCTTTGTTTCTACTTCCCGAACATCCTCACACTTAATCCCTTCATTCTCTTCCTCCTTCAACACTGCCTCTAGACCAAGAAGCGTCTCGACAGACCCTTTGTCCTTCAATATTTTGACAGAATGACAAAATTCGGTAGGGTCTGGAGAATTTTGCATCAGGTCCGTCAGTTTGAAGGTACACTCATCCTCTCCAACTTTTAAAGTCATTTCCCCTTCGTGAACATTAATTAGGGCCTTAGCAGTTGCTAAAAATGGCCGACCCAAAATTAGAGGCATTTCTGAATCCTCTTCCATATCAAGAATCACGAAATCGGCTGGGAATGTGAACTTATCAACCTTTACGTGTATGTCCTCAACTATTCCCCGAGGGTAACGGACAGAACTATCTGCTAGTTGAACACACATCCGTGAAGGTTTAAGTTCAGTAATTCCTAACTGTTTCATGATTGATGTGGGCATCAAATTAATGCTCGCTCCTAAGTCTGCTAGCGCATGTTGAAAGTGCATGTCTTTAATTGAGCAGGGGATAGAAAATTTACCTGGATCCTTGCACTTCTCAGGTAATTGTTGGAGTAGCAACGCGGAGCAGCTCGCATTCAGATTGATCATTGAAACCCCTTCCCAGTCCTTTTTATGCATAACCAAGTCTTTGATGAACTTGGCATACTTTGGCATCTCAGTTAAGACATCAATCAAAGGCAACTTAACTTCCACTTGGCCCATGATGTCTAAAAACTTCTTGAAAGCTTGATCATCATTCTTCTTCTTTACCCTTGATGGAAAGGGTACGGTCACCTTCTTTGGTAGGAGATTGCTGTTTGCATGCTGGGACTGGGAAGGTTCCTTATCCTTCCTTTCTTCTTTCTTTTCTGGTTCCTTCTTATTTTCTTCAGTTGGTTGACTAATTACTTCAACCTCAGACTCCTCCTCCAATGTTGGTTCAGTACTTTGACCAACACCTTGAACTTCCTTTCCACTGCGTAGAGTAACAGCGTTAAGATGTTCGCGTGGATTGGTTTCAGTTTTAGCAGGGAGAGTTCCAGGAGGTCTGATTGTCATCTTATCCATTAGTTGTCTCATAGATTCCTCTAACCTTTGAATTCTTTCTTCACTCCTTTTATTTTGCTCCTCCATCATCCTCTTCATTTCGGCCATAGGATCCTCAGCTTGTCTTTGGTGTGGGGGAACATACACTTGAGTATTTCCCCCTTGGTTATAGCCAGACCCTCTTTGACTATTCCAATTGGTGTTGTTGTTCCAGCCGCCTTGTTTGTAATCGTCCCTTGAACGATTATTTCGCAGGAAATTGTTATTGTTGCGCTCCCTCGAAGGATCATCGTGCTGATAAGCTGGCTGGTACTGATTAGGGGCCCATGGTCCTTCCCCTTTGTTGGCATATTGTGCCAAGTGTACTTCACGTGGCCGTTCCTTTGTTGTGCTTTCATTGTACGGGCACTGAGATGTCAGATGTGCACCTGTACAAGATTCACAAGACATGACCAGTTCATTTTGGTGTGAACTAGATCCTCCTTGATAGTAAGCATCGGCCTGAGCAATTGATTCACGTTGTTTGTTTGGATGCGAACTTGCACTGAACTGATCTTGGATGGTCCGCTTGATGAGACTTTCCATACTTGCCTTAAGTGCGGTGAAAGTGTCCACCTCATACATTCCAGCTTTTGTTGTGGAACTCGGTCTTCGTACCAGTATTTGGCATTTGATGTGAGTTTTCCCACCAATTCCTCATTTTCCTCCGGCGTCATATCTAGGAAAGAACCGACCTTTGAAGAATGGTCTAGTTCTTTCTTCGATGAAACCAGAAGTCCTTGGTAGAAATGGAACATTAGGCTGTCAGGATCAATTAGAGCAGGTGGACATTTGATCTTCAGATCCTTGAATCTTTCCCATGCTTCACTTAAAGATTCAGTCGAATTTTGAGAAAAACTCTGAATAGATCTTTTAATTTTTGCAATGGCAGATGGTGGGAAGTATTCGTGCATGAAGGCTTGATGAAGCGCCTCCCATGTGGTGAAATGTCCTTTCGGGAACGTATTCAACCATCGTGCTGCCCTATCTCGTAGTGAGAAGGGAAACAG